TACATTCTATGGTGGCTCTGGAAGTCTCGTAATCTCTGGGTGTTTGAGAAATCAAGAAGACCGGCCTCGGTAATATTTAAAGTTGCAGTCCAGTAGTGGAATGCTTTCTTGGCTAGTAGAAGGTGACAGGTCTAGTAGTAATTTTCCTTTGTTTGGTTTGTATGGCCTGGTTGTTTGTGTGAAGCAAAGGGGCAAAGGATTGGTTGGTTAACTGCTTTGCCTCTTTGTGTTGCTGAGCCTAAGTGTTTTGTTGTTTCTTTGCAGTTGTTATTCTAGCCCACATTAATGTGGTGCTCCCATGGCTCCGGCTCTATTGATGTAAATACTCTTGTATCTTCTTTGTGTATGTTATGAGAATTTCTATCGTTTTGGGAAAAAAAAAAAACTTGAAGTTTTTCCCTTAACCGAGTATGAAATAGTGACACAATGGGCTTGGTGAATATATCTGCAATATGATAAAATCCAAGAACATGTTGAACTATATTATTCTCTGATAAATCTTCTTTTGTACAAAATGAATAACTAGTTCAAAGTTCCTTGTTAGAGAATTAAAAAATAGATTATTCAGATAGATGAACAACACTAATGCTATCATTCAAATGATGCTTGGTTGTGTTGATTTGATGCCTAGTTAAAAAAGAAGTGAGTGTAACCACATCAGTTCAATAGTGGTTGTAGCAGTGCTCTAGTATTCTACCTTAGAGCTCAAATGAGAAACAACCAATTTTTTTTTAGATTGCTAACATATGAGATTATTTCCCAAGTAAACACAATACCTAGAAGTGGGATTCCTATCATCACAATCTGACCCCCAGTCTAAATCAACAAAGGTTGTAAGAGAAAAATTTGTGTTGAGTTTGAATGATAATCCAAAACCTAGAGTTCTAGATAAATATCTCAGCACCCGTTTCAAGGCTAACCAATGAGCAATCCTTGGAGCTTGCATGTAGTGACTTAGTTTATTTACTATGTAAGCATAATCGGGATTGGATACAATTGCATATTGTAGCGCTCCAATCAATTTTGTATAAGAAATTGCATATGAGATCGACTCACCATCGTGCTTAGAAAGATGAGAAGTAGTTGTCATAGGAGTGTTCACTCCTTTAGCACCAATCATGCTAAGAGCAGTTATAATCTCATTGATATACTTTTGCTGAGAGAGTATTAATCCATGTGACTGAGGTATAATCTCAATGCGTAAGAAGTAGTTTAATGCACCAAGGACTTTGAGAGAACAGATATGGCTTTTATTTTTCAAATATTCATTTATCTAAGGTCACAGTCACCAGTCACAATTATGTCATCCACATAGGTCAAGACAATCATGCAAGACTTCTGAGTTTTCTTGTAAAACAGTAAGTTGTCTATAACAAAAATTTTAAAACCAAATGAGGATAAAAATCTGTGTAAGTTTAGAGCAACTTGATCTGAAAGCTTGCTTTAATCTATAGAGTGACTTATGAAGCTTGAAGACTAATGCTTCTCTATTTAATCATAGCTTTTCATATCATGGAACTTGAGTCATCTATATTTCCATTTAAGAAAGTATTATCTATGTCAAGTTGTTTGATGCTTCATTTATGTGTCTAGGCGAGAAAAATAATCACTGTTACTGTGGCTAGTTTAACCACTAGACTGTACGTCTCAGTGTAATCCAGTCCTACCATTTGGCTGAAACCCCTTGCAACCAAACGAGCCTTACATCTTGAATAGGCACTGTTGTAATTGAAGGAGTTTTAGAATCATTGGCATCTTGAATAGTAGGACCTTCAGGGTTCAACCTGAGGATATAATGGGAATGGAACTAATAGGCTTAAGGATACCTTTGTTGAGTGGTGGTTGCTTGGAATTTGAGTTGGTTTGAAAGGGAAGAATTTTTCATCAATGATTATATCTTTGGTCACTATACTGTAAAGAAGAACTCTATAGCCCTTGTGCTGAGGGCTATAACCAATTAATGTGCATATTTATGAAATGTCTTGGAATTTATTTTTGTTCAAATGCCTTAAATGAGGATAGAAAAGGTAACCAAAAATCCTGTGTGGCTACAAAGCTTCTAACTTGTAAGGGTCTCAAAAGAAGTTTGAAAATTTTGGAGGTATGCTAGATAACCTATTTATGGGGTAAACTAAAGTTTCAACAATTTTAAAAACTTTCTAGAAGCATGGATGTTCTAATTCCACAATACTTCGACGCTTTCTCTCAACAACTCCATTTTGTTGACGAGTATATGGACAAGATAATCTGTGTACAATTCTATTTTCATTGAAGAACTTAGACAAAAGTTTAAACTCAGTTGCTCCATCACTTTGAAGTATCTTTACCTTTCATTGAACTTGTTTCTCAATCCTTTTGATGAACTTAATAGTAACACTGTATGTATCTGATTTTTTGTTGAGGCAATATAACCAAGTGATCCTAGATTCATGTCGATAAAACGTATGTAATTAGAATTGCCACCCTTTGATTTTATTGGGCAAGGTCCCCATAAGTAAGTATAAACAAGCTCAATGATATCATAGTGATAAAAAAATGGAGTTGAGAAAAGGTAATTTGTGGCTCTTGGCCTTGGCACATGAAGGACAAACTGAAATCATTTCATTAATTAAAAACCATTCATTACAAGACTGCATGACCATGTTCACTGGATCATACTAAGCATGGCGCAATTTATGGTGCCATAACTAAAGACTATCTTCAACTCTAACTTCATAGACATTCGGATGACTAATGCTTTTATTTATATGAAAAATACAAGAAATGAAACTCTTAAGATGATTGTTGGAATGTTTCTGATCTTTGTTTTGACTTGATAGGTTGAAGGAGTAAAGACCATTCTCTAGTTTTTCTTCTAAAAGCACTTCATTTGATTGTTGACCCTTCACAAGGAAAAAAAAAAAAAAGTGGATGAAATTATAAGTAAGCATAATAAGGTTTCTAGTGATGTAGGGAACATGCAAAAGGTTCTTTAGAGCAAAAGTGGTGGTATTTGGGTTGTTGGAATGTGACTTATGATAGAAGAAACAATATGAGATATGTGCAAACCTGATCCATCACTAATTTGGACTTTGTCATCTCCATGATAAGTAGAAGCAAGAGTCAGATTGCCAAGGTCATAAGCAACATGGTTGGTTGCCCTATAATTTGAGAACCAAGAAGAGTGATCTTGGCTAGGTTCATTAATGCTGCTAGTACTGTTGATAGAGGGAGTTGACTGGACTGGAGCCACATTCACACGATTGCAGTAGGAGGAAGTTCATTTGAGTTTGTGTTGGCAGTGTGTATGAGATCACCCCCATAGAAACACTTTTCAGCTGTAAGATTATTTCTGTGATAAATATGACAGACCACCTTATTAGTGAGTATTTCTCTTCCTCTGCCAAATTATTCCTTCCTCTATTGCTTCTTCCATGAAATATGGACCATTCCTCAGCCTTTGTTTCCTTGATAATTTTTTTTGCCTTTTCTTACTTCTTGTGCTAGGACATTGATATTTGGGACAGTGCCCTCCATGCCAATCATGAAGTTGGAATCCAATCCCTCAAGTCTGCTTTCAAAGTTGAGAAGAAGTGGGTGAACTTCCCTAACAATGTATGGTTGTAGTTTAGAATTCACAGTAACAAAATCATTGAATTGTAATCACTCCACAAACGAGTGAGAATATAAGATGTGCTCTTCATCACTTACCCATTGTCCTGCACCGGAAAGCATATCACAACACTTTTGACTTTGTTAAGAAAATCTCTCATGGATATGTCTCATTTTTTTAGGGTTTGGAGATGTAATCTGTATTGCATGACTTTGGCTCGATATTGATAATCAAATTTGATTTCAAGAGCTCCTGGACCTTTCTGGATGTGGCCTGACTGTAGTGACCAAAATTGATTCACTGAGAAAGGATAAGATCCAGAAGAAAAGAAGTTGATCTTGTCTTTTCCAAGTCACAAACTAAGGATTGGTCATATAAGTTGCTAATATTGGATACTTGTAAGCATGTCCAATTTGGTCATATAAACTACATACACCTTATCCTAGACAAATGAAATGCAACACACAAGGTCAACCTGTTTGTTCTGCCCCGTAGACCGTGTAAGACGTCTCATAGTCGATAAATTTTAAACCGTAAAATCCGAATCCTAACTTTAGATCCATTGTGCTTAAGATTCTTTTCGTTGATTCTCAATTCAATTTAAAGCACGATTATTGACCTTCTTCACTGAATCCAATAGTTATACTACTTGAGCATGTGTCCAACGATATATAGTTTGGTATATCAGAACATGTCTGGAAAAGTTGTCGAGGCTAAGCTTATTAGCATTTGAGGATGAGGAAAAACTAATACAGTAATGCACCAATGTTCTATGCCTCATACACCAGCTAACTAAGCCAAAATGTGCTTTTGACATAGCCAAGAGCATAGAGACATAAGAGGGAGATCAAACATACTCTATATAAAATTGAGGGGTATGCTATATGTTTGAACTAGTGTACTCACATAATTTGTAGTACACACCAGAGTCTCAGTTGTAGGGTTATGTCATATAGTTGGGTGATAACATAACTCTCCTCACATGTTCCTTTTTGATCTCTAATAGTTTGTTCGTGGATTGTATATGGTACTCATGGTTTAGATCAAATTAAGAGAAGGGATAGTATGCGAGTTGATCGAGATTCTTGAGCTTATTCAGATTAGAATTATTTTTGCTACCTAATCAAGAGGTAATATTATTAAATCCCAATTATATATGTAATTATGTGCAAATATATCTCATATACTATAACATGTGGCTATATCCACCATGTTATAATCACATGAGAGACGTGATAGAGCCCTCCCCATGCATGTCAGATCATGTCAAGCTTTGATAAATATATGTAGTGATTAAAATGAAGTTTTCTATTAGAGAGTGGCTAAAATTTATCTAGGTATACAAAAGTAGATGAATAGTTGCTACCTTAATTGTGCACGTGCACAAGACATGAGGAAATCCCGAAAATCAAAGTTGGATCACCTTCTCAAGGGAAAGGTTAATGAAAACATCCGTGTCTTTGTGAATGTCATCATCCACTAAATCGTGCAGTTGTAGTTGATGCAGTGAAAATACGTAATTACACTCCCATTTACTGTCCCATCTTCCTTGGGATGTTGATATGGTAATCAGACGTCGTCGTTGAGACTTCTTTTTGGGTACCTATTGTTCATTCAAAACAAAAAATAAAAAATAAAAACTAAATATTTAAATTATAGAGCCACACAATCACAATCACAAAAATTGTGCCATTCCCTAATTCGAACATCAGTCATTGGCCAACATTTTAGTCTTATATTATATGTAGAGAAACATTGAATAGCAATATTATATCATCAAAAGCTACTAAAAAATTATTAATATTAAATAGTTAGACTTCTATTGAAAATTTAATTGAAATGGATAAGCAAGGAGAGAAGAGATGAAGGCTTACCATTGGAAGTTGATTTCTCTTAGCAGAAGAAGCTCTTGGCGTAAGCATGTGGTTAATAATTTTATTCTTCACTTGGAATTCGCAGTTGATGTTTGGTGATGATGAAAACCATTTAGCCATCTCTCTTTCTCGTACAGGTACACTCACACCCAACACTGAAAATAAAGGTTTCAACAATTACCACAACCTTATCTTCTGCAGCTTGCAAGCCTTGGTGGCACTATGGAGAACAATCAAATAAAATATTATTGCTTTCACATGGAAAAAAATTATAATATCTTTTTCTAATTTACTAGTTTCATCCATTACCTAAAGTTCTTTTATATTAGATCCATTGCATTACATCAGTTTAATAAATTATACATTAGTTATAAATTATAATAAACTAGTAGCACTAAGAATATACTTATACGAAAACATAATAAATAAAAACAAATCTTCCTCTATCTTATATCATGAAAATAAAATTAAAATATTAATAATAAAATTAATTTTATACATTATATTTAAATTAATCGATCACTCACCAACTTAATTTATTTATTGTATTATTGTTGCCCGTGCATTGTACAAGATACGGCTAAATTATATTTTTAGTCCACTATGTTGGCAATTTTGCGAAAAAAGTCCATGTAGGGTGTCATCAATAAGGGTCCACTAAGTTGGCACTTTAATGAAAACTTGTACAATATCCAACATAGTGTACTAAAAATGACGATCACTTTTAGTACATTATCTTGGTTTTTATATGAATTTTGATGAAAGTGGCAACTTAGTGGACCATTCTTAATGACACCTTATATGATGGATCTTTTCAGAAAATGACCAATGGACCATTTTTTAAATTTTTCCTACAAGATACATACTAGTTTTCAATGAATAATACTCACAATAAATATTTTCTGTCTCTTTACTTAATTACCTATACTTTATTACAATTTATGGTTTTGATTCAAACATAAACTAGTACAGAGCCCGTGCGATGCACGGAGTGCACAATTTTAAGGCTATTTATCCAGGCTTATAATTATATACATGAATAAAGAAAAATGTAAGGGATATATATGGTACGTGACCCGTGCGACGCACGAGATATATTTATTTGGAGAGTATTATATTATAAGATGCAATATTCAATAAAAGTTTATAATACGCAAGAAAATTGTACAATGTGCAATAAAAGTTTTATAATATTCAAGTAGAGTCTTAAAATCTCTTGTACATTAAGACTACTGACAAAATAATATTTAATCAATGAGTTTCCTTTCCTTGTAGCCAAATTGTGAATGTGATTTGAGGAGTACAACAAATTGATATATACCTGACTTGCTTTTTTCATTGTAGTTTTTTTCTTTTTTCTTTTTTAATAATGAATTTAAAGATATTCTCAAATATAGCAAAAATTAATTTTTTTTATTACAATTAGGAATTTTACTAAATATAAATCCTCAATCTATGGTGTTAATCAACGTTTAAATCTAAAAAATTAGGAATTTTTACCTCTTTTAATCAACGTTTAAGTCTAAAAAACAATAGAGTTATTATAAGTTTTTTTTTCTACATCTTTTAAAACATTAAATATGAGCATGTTAGGGCTATTGTAAAATAATTAATATATTATTTCACTAAAATATTTATACTAATAAAAATTTAATTTTAACATATAAATTTATTCCTTGATATAAGAGAAAGTAACAGTTTTACTTATTGTTGTTCACCATATAATATTTAATTATTATTTTATTATATAATAAAAAAGAAATATTGTTAAATAGTATAGTAGAATGTTATAAAATTATATGATTTTTTTTTACAATATGGATTTAATATTTTTTTTATGATTTGATAATATAAACAAATCTATACTTAACTTTGACAAATAAAACAAATAAATACTTTAGTAAGTATTTAATGTATATACTAAATAGGAATATATTTGGTATAATCAAATACCAAATATAATCAAATAAGTCAAAGTGTACATTTTTATTTGGTATTTGATTTTTTTATTATTAAAATCTTTTTATTATACTTACCTTTTTAAAATAAAACAAATAAATAAATCAATTAAATAAATAAAATATTATAATACCAAAATAGTAATGACATTTAATGCAGTTGACTTTTCTAGATAGTAAATGTAGTAAATAGAATCTCCTTTTATATAAGTATAGATTATATAATACGGAAATAGTAATGCAATAAATGTTTTTGACTTTTCTTTATACTAAATCTGGTAAATAGTATACCTTTATATAAGTATAGATAGATTATAGGAGTTGAAAATTATGAGACACTTAATCTAAAAAGAATATAGTGTATATTATTTTAAATTTATAAAGTTTACTAATTTTTAATTACGTATTTGACAAAATTATTTTAGATTTTTTATAATTTATAATTATATATAGGAAAATCCAAAAAGATAAAATTAACAGTAATTTTTCTTTTTTAAGTTCGCCGATATTGATTCAAATTTAATTTGTATTAGTTACTGTCATCTGGATCACACGGATTGCGTAGATAATTTATTTTTTTTTATCATTGTCTCGAGCGATCATGTACTAGTAATGAAATGAAGTTTTAAAATTATTTTCATTATTACAATAAAATATACTTTCAACAATTATTGCACTTATTATTTTAAATAAATGCAAATATTTATGTATATAGATTGATATAAAAGAATCTATAAAAAATATCTCTATCCAATCTCTCTATCTCTTTCTATATATAAAGGTTTATATTTACTAAGAATATTATAGTTTTCTGCAAAAATATTCTGTTACTAATTTTTTTT